TTCACTTAGCATAATGCTCTCCAGTTCCATTATTCATTTTTTTTAAGAGAGAGAGGAAGGGAGAGATAGAAATATCAATGCGAGAGTGAAACATGGATCAGCTGCCTCTTACATGCCTCCTATCTATATGCCCCCCTACTGGGAATCGAGTCTGAAACCCAAGCATGTGCCCTGACCAGCAAGGGACAATGCCCAACCCAACTGAGCCACACCAACCAGGGCTAATTAAGCATTTTGATTGTGGTGAAATAATCACATTGTGTGTGCATTGAACTTGCCTGTGTTTACCATTCGTATTATTTACACATGTGCAGAGAGCAAGGATCTTGAAAGCTGCCTAAATTATTATTGGTTCTGCTAGTAACAAAGTGGTCTCTCTCAGTTGATGTTCAGTAATAGATAAATTGGAAAGCCTGTTGCTTGAATTGGATTGGTAGGTGGTGCAAAGTGTGGTGTGTATTCTATCATATCACTAGAGGCCCGGTGCATGAAATTCGTGTATGGGGGGTTGGGGGGAAGGGAAGGTCCCTCAGCCCGGCCTGCACCTTCTCCAATCCAGGACCCCTCAGGAGATCTCCAACTGCTGGTTTAGGCTTGATCCCTGCAGCCTAAACCAGCAGTCGGACATCCCTCTCATAATCCAGGACCGCTGGCTCCTAACTGCTCGCCTGTCTGCCTGCTTGATTGCCCCTAACCTCCTCTGCCTGACAGCTTGATTGCTGCCTAACCGCTCCCCTGCTGGCCTGATCACTCCTAACCACCTCTGCCTCAGCCCCCACCACCGTGGCTTTGTCCAAACAAGGAAGTTGGACATCCGGCGGAATTGAACCTGGGACCTTTGAGTCCTCAGGCCGAGGCGCTCTATCCATTGAGCCAAACCGGTTTTGGCTATATGTTAAGTTTAAAATTTGTTGTTGTTAATCCTTGCCTCAGGATATTTTGCCATTGATTTTTAGAGAGTATAAGGAAGGGCAGGGAGGGAGGAGGAGAGAGGGGTGGTGGGTGGGGCTGGGGAAGGAGGAGGAAAGGGAGAGAGAGATGTGAGAGAGACCCATCAATTGGTAGCCTACTGCATGCACCCAACCACCTGGGCCAGGGATGGAACCTGCAGCCCTTCAGTATGCAGACCAGCGCTTTAACCATTGAGCAACACCAACCAGGGCAATGTTAGGGTTATTTTAGGTTGTATGTATTATTTGGTATGTTACTTTTTGGGTCTGGGAACACTAAATTTTTTTTTAATATTTAAGTTAGTGATTTCTTCTTCACTTTACGGCATTTGGTTTGCAAAAGGTTTCATACAAACTCTACTTTTAGATAGTGGGGGAAACCTGAACTGGCTAACTGCAAGAATGGATTGGATTCAAGGAGAGGTGAATGGATGCATATGTCTTCTGAATATGTGGTCCTAGTAAAGATATTTTAAATAAAATTTAAGAAATAGAAATTATAATTATGTTTTTTTAGCCCCAAATTCTTGGGCCTGTAAGAAGTGTTTCAGCAATTTGATTTTATGGGATTAAAAAAAATTCTGAGAGAAGTAATTGTTACGTGGAATTTATTTAATGTATCTAATTCTTTCTGAAAATACAAGTTCTTGCTTCAGATCGGAGTTTTGGATAATAACTACAAAAACCTAGTTGAAAATCAGCCGTAGCTGGTTTTGCTCAGTGTATAGAGCATCTGCTTGCGGACCAAAGGGTCCTGGGTTCATTTCTGGTCAAGGGCACGTACCTTGGTTGTGGCCTAGGCCCTGGTGAGGGTGCATGCTGGAGGCAACCGATTGATGTGTTTCTCTCTCATCGATATTTCTGTCTTTACCTATCTCTAACACTCTAAGAAGTCAGTGGAAAAATATCCTCGGGTGAGGATTTAAAAACAAAACCCTAGTTGAAAATCAGAAATGCCCTTTATATTAAAAGTTTACTGAGCTGTCATCTTACCTTGATTAAGTCATCAGAACTCAAAGTTGAGCCTAACTAGGCTTTTTGAAGAATTTTTTTTAATTCAAGTTGAATTTGAGTTTTAGTAGAATTTAAATTTGTTTCTGTTTACTCAAGTAAAGTAAATAGGGCAAAAATGGCTGCTAGAATATGTTCACTTTCAAAAAGGTGAGAAATATCAGCTTAAAAAGCTACATGTGGAAACCACCTGTACATATGAAAATGCACAGAACGAGAACATTTTTGTTACACTAGATTGTTTTTATTTGTGTTTTTATATGGACATTTCATTATATGGACATTTCAGCAGAAAAGGGTTAGTTGTATGGAGCATTGCTTTGTTTGCAACCTAGAATTTTAGAGCTTCAAGAAATAATGCAATTCATCTTGTTCAAGACACAGGTCTTACGAATGAGGATCTAAGTTTATAGAAGGGGAATGTAAGTTACCCCGTGTGACTGGTCTAGAGCAGGCTGGAGCGAGATCTCTTGAATGAGTACAACTTACCCTAGGAGGTCTTTCCTGGGGGGCCCCTTGCTCCCAGTTTTCAAACATCCAACACACCAAGATACCTGGAAAGTAGAGTGAGCACTACACAGCAGGTGGAATGCTACAACTTTGAGAAAGAGCACAGGCAGGCAATGAGAAAAGCCAGTCTTTTAATGATTGGTTTCTGTTTCTCCAGAGGAGAGGAGGGTGAGCATCAGGATATCAATTTGAGGTTTCCCAAATTCACTCCTGTGGAGGTTGGGGCTGAGGTGTCCCGAGGGAATCCTGTTGACTGAGATTCCTGATGTGTGTTGGTTACAGGCCCTTAAGAGGCATAGGTGGGAGTTCCTTCTTCTTGTTTTTGCCTTTATCTAGTATATGTTTTATATTTTTTCACTAATTTTATAATGGGAAATTTCATTTAATATTAGAGAGGATAATATAACAATTCCTCAAATGCGTACCTGTTATCTATTTGGGAGTTACCAACATATGGCCAGTTTGTTATCTAGGCTTCTTTCCTATCAGTACATCTTGCCTCACTAGGTTTTTTTTTTTTTTTTTTTTAAACTCTCACCCGAGGATATTTTTTCCATTGATTTCCAGAGAGAGTGGATGGGGCAGGGGGGAGGGAGAGAGGGTATGGGGGTAGAGAAACATCTATGTGAAAGAGACCACTGATTGGTTGCCTTCCACACGCCCCCACTGGGTCTACTGACCTTGCAACCTAGGTATATGCCCTAGACCAAGAATCGAACCCAAGACCTCTGGTTTGCAGGCTGAGGCTCTAACCACTAGGTCAAACCAGCCAGGACCTCACTAGGTTATTTTAAAGCAAATCCCAGACATTATATCATATCTTTGTCAGTGTTTCTACTGCGTGTTTTAAACTAGTAGAAACTTAGCTTCAATCTGATGGGGATACCTGAAAGAAACTATTTACTTAGAGAGTAATTAAGCTGAAGGAGCTCCCCTTTATTAATGATTCTAGAAGGTTTTGTTCTCTAAATGATTTTCTTAATGCATTAGTGCCACTGTTGGGGTGGGGGAATTGGGTGATGAGTATGGCTGAGGGTAAGGATGGGAAATTGCTGGCTCTTAGGAGGAGGAGACAGATGTAGCTATTGAGAACAGCTTTATTAGCCTTCTGCCTTAGTGTGTTTCTGTTTGAGCAAGTTGCTCTGTTCATAATTCTGACTTGAACCCTGAAAATAAGCCTTTAATTTGTAATTGATATGAAGCTTTTATAGGAAATAACAGTTTTTGCTTCCCTGGGTCAAAGTGAGCATACCTGAGACTCTTTTATGTGTGATTTTCCCAATAGCTGATGTTGCCTCTTTTTGTTTCAGATGGGAATGACTGGTAACACAAGTCCATTTGGACAACCCTTTAGTCAAACTGGAGGGCAGCCAATGGGAGCCCCTGGAGTGAACCCCCAGTTACCCAGCAAGCAGAATGTGGTCACTAGTTTGCCTCCCTTCCCTGCAGACATCAAGAATGCTTCAGTCACCAACGTGCCAAACATGGTAAGTTTCCCTTGGCTCTCAGCGCTTTGCTGGGTAGATTTTATTGTGCTGATAGTAAAGATCTGTAACTAAAAGTGTGTTGTAGGTGATAAGAAAATAACCCATACTTCTTCTGAGTAGCTCTCTCTCAGGGAGTTAACATTTTCTGTGATGAGCTGGCAATCAGAGGGCTAGGTAGAGGTTATTCAGTCAGTCCTTCCAGGTTCCCTTTGTGAAGAGAGAGGGTTCATAACTGTTAATCGCTGTTCCTTTCTCTTCAGTTACCCTCTTGATTCAGTAGTATAGCCAAGAGAATCAAGAAGCAGGCTTTTCTCACACTTTCTATCTATCAGTGGTTGAGGCTGTCAGTAGAAGCCCATTGATTTTAGTTAGTCAAACAAAGAGCATTCATCTTCCAAGGACTATATCGTGTCTGTGAGACATGGTGTGTCTGACTTGTTGTTATAGGGGTTCGCATGTCTTCATTCCCTCTGAGATTTCACCTATAAAATAGGTATTATCCTTGTAACCTCTCGGCCTAACTAACCAAGATATTTTGGGAAAATAGCTCCTTTTGCACTGCAAAATACTCTCTTTTCATTCCAAACAGTAAGGGGAGGTGTGTGTGTTTTTGTTAGACCTCACTGTGCACTCGCAGCTGCTAAATGTTTGAGGCTGGAAACAGCCAAGTCTTTTCTTCCCTGGGCTTGTTGCTGGGAACCTGCCCTTCCAGGATTGTCTAGTTTCAGCCATACACATCCAGAACCTAAAACAAAGCCTCCTTCTCCCCTAGCTTTCC